TACTATAAGATATAGAATTTGGTGAAAGTATGTTAAAGTACCAATTTTCCTTTTAATTTAGATCTTTTTGAGGGAAATATCAAGAGGTATCTATTTACTAGACAGCTGGAGATTTGAATTTGAAATTTGATATAGCTGCCAGATATTTAGTACCCTAACCCTCACCACAAAAATGAAAAAAATGGATGGAAGAAGAGTCTAATGTATTCAAATGAAATATATTCTCAATGGTTGTCTTCAGTTCCCCCAAGGACCTACTGAGTGAATGCATAGGTTGGATTAGCACTGAACCATACAGACCAGATGGTTGTAGGTTCAATTCCAGGCCTTTCTTAACTGAGGTGGTCTCAGTTGTCTCAGGCTTTGGAAGAATTTTTTTTATAACTAATTCTCCATGCATAAACTGGAAAAATGTAGCTAAATTGTTAATTTTTCAAGTAAATCGCCATCTGGTGATGTCATTGTAAGTACTCTTATATTGTATGGACATCTGAGACTCAATTTCAATTGCCCACTCATGAATAAAGTACACTTTTGTTTCAGACATGGCTGGCAATGTAATTGGTTGTGAGTGGCGTTCTGATTGATAATATATGCCAAATGTGTTAATTTTATCATAAGAGTTAGATGCCCATAATTGACTTGTTTAGCTCCAAGGAGTTTGTTCAGCATAACTCTGGTTATAGATGCCAGCATAAGGGGAAGGAAAGTACCTGATTATAATTTTTATTGTTTTCTGTGTGTTACTGAAGAACATATGCTGAGCAATCAAATGTAAATTGAGAATGGGGGGGAGGTGGGGGGTGGAGTTGGGCAAAGGATGTTACACAATTAGAAGCATATTGAATTGTAACAATATATGTGAGACAGTGATGGCTAATCGTGATGCAAGTGTGGTAATGTTTATTTTCCAAGAATGTTCATCACAGAAACAGGCAACTCGGCCCAACCAGGGCTGGTGTTTATACTCCACATGAGTGTTCACCTATTCCCTACTGCCTCCCATAACCCTTCTATTCGTCCTCCTGACATGAAAGGCGCTATACAAATTTTGTATTGTATTCCTCTCTCCCTCATAGCTTCCTCTTGAATACATCTACACTATTTGATTGAACCATTGCTTCAGGTAGCGAGTTCCACAATCTCATTATCCTCTGCGTGAGATCCCCTAATTGCTATCATATTTAGGCACACAATTTGGTGGCATTCCACACATAAGCCTAGATAGTTTCTTAAATGAAAGCACAGAGGATATCACTCTGTAAATATTTTTTGGAGAGAATCCACAATAACTTTAAATATATTTTCTATATTCCTTTAGTTTTATAAACCAGTTGAGCAATTGTCATACCACATAAAATTGGAAGCAGAGTTTAAGGACAAAGCATGGTGTAGCTTGTCATGTCATCTGAAATCTCCCAGGCGTTGTGTTGACATCTGCTTGTAATATCTTTAAAACTCCTTTAAAGGAGTTCTAGGATTCGATGATGAAATAAAAAGGAATATATTTTCATACCTATGATAATTTAAGTACTTTGTCATTGAACATAGTAAAAAAAAAGCTCAAAAGCATAAAGAGTGGTATCTGACACCTCTTTGCATTATCAATCAATATAGACAATATACACCTCAATAATTAGGCATACAAATGGTGACTTCAGATGTTGAACTTAGAGGCTTAGTCTTTTGAGAAACAACAGCCAAATTGAAATGTAACCAGCAGTTATTACTGATATTGGAATTCACATTTAAAATCATCTTTATAAAGCAATGGTGATGCAGATGTAATCTATTGCAATCATAAATTGCTGTCCCAACCAACAACCGTACAGGTCAATGGGAATTATCTTGTGTAGACCATACTGAAACAAGTGAATCCACATATTCGCTGATAGGGTTATTAAAACTAACTCCACAGAATGATTAGGCCAGTGTCAAACAGGAGTTGGTGGTTGCTGGATTCGAGCAGGATTACATCTACGAGATGGAATCTGTTGGATTCATTTTGAATTCAGCAAGAGAACGTTATGTACAGAAAGAAGTTAATTCATACTGCATTACTCTGGATGTTATACTCAATTAGGAATCAGCATAAACTGCTGGATTGATCTAAAACAGACTGGAGTTGGCATGAGAGGCTGCTGTGTATTAAAACCAATCCAGGCCAATTCTGTGGTAGATGCAATGGATAGATTCCATTATATTCAGAAAGGACTATTGATAAATTCTAAATGGTTTTGTAAAAAGGGAAACTAAAGGATTGAAATATATACCGTAATGGTAGTATAAATACAATACTAATGCTCAGTGAAGTGGCAGCACTTTGTTTTTATTTTTTATGTATACTATTCTTTGTTGCACTGCTCCTCTATGTAATGCTGTAATGTAACTGTGTCAGATGAGCTGATACATTGAGACAAAAGGTTAAAAGTTTTCTGTAACAGTGCATCAATTTTCTAACAGTAGCTTCTCAATGTTAAAGCACAGAAACAGGCCTTTCGGCTCAGAAAGTCTGCTGTTCTTACCCACACACACAACTAGTCTAATTGAATTTGGTACTTGCCCTCTACTCAATAATATTCTCTTTTTCAAGCATATACCTAATTCCATTTTAAAATAGTTCATAGACTTCTTCAACAATAGTTTGTGGCAGAGAATTCTGTGTTCCAATCATGCTTATATTTTTTAATATCCTCTTTAATTTGGGAATTATCTTTAATTTGTGCTCTCTCATTTGTGCCTTGCTGACAATTAGCAATAGCAATGACTATTTATCCTATTGTAACCCTCCATAATCAGGAAGACCTCTCTATCCAATCAACTCTTGTAGTATTTTGCTGTAATAAAATAATGTCAACTAACAAATACTGAGGTTTCCCCTTCACAAATTGAATGCCTTCATGAATTGAGCACAGTGAAGTTTCATAGGATGATTGGTTCTGCAAAATGGAATACTTCACCAATTGAATGGTTCATTAAAGCTCAAAGGACGAATATGGAATGAAAGTGCAAAACAAAAAGCATGCTGGTGGCATTACTATACACGACTGCTGAACTCACAGACTTTATCTCTGATGAAATCGTAGGCCCGAGCTGAATTCTCCTGAGTCTGAGGTCGATAGGGAGGATTCACTGGAGAAAATTGCATTTATGTCATAGGCACTTTTGCTGGTGGCCAAATAGCTATGATGCTTCTTAGATGCTATTGGCATTAATAGGAATGACGTGTTTAGAGATCAGTTTTGTTTTATTTTCCATGTGAATTTCCACCAGCATCAGGTGTGTGATACAATATACAATTACAATATTTACCTGGCAGAGAAAAAAATCAGTGTTCCTGAATATTTTTGTTACCCAGAATTTATTTGTATTCAATTTATGTTTATCTCTTTTTTTTAATTACTACAGGCTATCAATTCTACACACACCATTTTGTGATTAAGTACCATTTTATCTAAAATGTTATATCTACAGTTTCCATAGAAGTTAACTGCATATCTACAATTAACGTCTGGCATGATCAGAGAAAAAGATAGTTTAACTTCAACTACAGTATCGATTTTGTTAAATATAATTTCTTCAAATTGTTCCCATTAATGTAATATTTTACCTGATGACTTTACAAACATGTAATATTTAAACAGGAAAATAAACCCTGCTGAATTATAATTAAGTATTATGTCTTATCCAATTTCCCAATTACATTTATGATAATAGGCATTTAACTCTGTTAAGCATGTTTAAAAGGATAGTTACAAGCAGAAGCAGAACTGACAAGATTTAACTAATTTCAATTGCTCTTTCACCTGTTTTGAAAGTAATATTGCTTTTTTAAATAAAGGTCATAGTCATTAATATGCTAGTGACAATTAATCTGTCTTTTCATTTTAATAGGCTGGTACTTAAAATTATGAACTACACAGCAGGGTTACTTTGTACAGATATTTCTGGGTGTGTGGAATTACCTGATGTTCTAAAATATTCATCAGAGCATCAGTTTACATTTAATTTCAGACAAGATCTTTTATTGTGTGTTGTATTGATTGTTTTAAGTTTTTAAACATACACAAGGAAAAGATCATTAGTAATTGATTTATTCCTCACAGGTGTTAAGCAAATCTATAAAATAGAGGATATTACAGAAGACATTTTTGTCACTGATATAATTGTTTGCTTTGGGGCTGCAATTAGCTATTGGGAATTCTGGCATTTGGACTGAATGGGATATGGGAATGGGATAAAACTAGTACACAAAGATTTCTAGTTTATGCTTTTGGAAAGTGACCACTCAACAATGTAATCAATAAACTCGGTAACACATGTAAATGGGATTAGATGTACATTAGTGAATAATCCATGTTAGCCACTGTGGTGGGCAATGTAGGAGACATTTGCTGAAGATTTGTTTAGTATTGAAATGCTGACAGCAATACTGCAGATAAACTTTATAATTCAGATATATTTGAATTTGAATGTCCCTTAATATCAGAATACAATAGTTTTAAACGACTCAAGTCTTCAAACTAAGTAGATTCACTGTAGATTGTTTTTACAGAGGAAGTAGATGAACTGGATCTATTTGCAGTTCTATGTAATAGGGATTATCCATGCATATTTCTCAGCTACTCACCTAGCAATGAAAGAAAAAGGTAAATTCTGAAAGCGTAATAGACATTTACTGTAAAAGAAGAAGACTTTTAGAAGAGTGTACAATAGGTTGGAATCAGTTAAGGGTGAACGTACAGGTCAAGTCTTTTGGAGTGCTGATGTATTTTGGAATCTAACATGGTTATCTAATTGGTAACAGCAGTCATTCTGACATTGATGTACACTGACTTTTTTCTAAAAGTTTTGCCTACTCAAATCCGTTTTGGTTCTAGGTTGTGCATAGCTGCTATTTTATGTACTGAACCTGCATTTATGACTTTGGATTTCAAAATGTGTTCTAATCTTGCATCACACAAAGTGAGCGCTGATTCTTGACTGTATTTTCTTTACAGGAGATGACCCATTCATGGCCACCTCCTTTGACTGCCATTCACACACCAAGCAAGGTGGAACCAAGCAAGTTTTTGTTTCCAGCTAAGGTAATACCATATTAATACTTTATTTCAAATGTTTTAAATCCTTACATTTGGTATAACACCTTTAACGATAGGAGGATGTCTTAAACACTACTGTAAGATGTAGTAACTGCATTTTGTAGGCATCATTTAGGTGAATATCCTTTCATAAGTCTATAAATGAATTAGAAAGAATATTAAATGTTTGCATTGCATTCAAAACTCAACAGTGTGTTGATCTGAAAATTGCAACCTGACGGCCTGATTTACCAATTATCTCCAGAGTTGTACCAAGTGGAAATTATATATTTCACCATAAGCCAGACGTGATCATAGGTCTGCCCTGGGGCAAGTCACCTTCTCCCTGATCTCTAGCAATGCCAGCCTCTGGGGACTTACTAGAGATCAGAGAATAGGTGACTTATCCATCCTCTCAGTCCCATGAACTTAGGATCCCAGGGAATAAAAAAAAGGCAGGTATGCCTAAGTAAAGAAGTTGATACTTTAAAGAATCATGTGAACATCCCCCACTACTCTCCCCGCCCCTCAAAATTGGCACACAGATATCATCGTGATATTTTTCAAGTTAAATGACAAATTAAGATTTCTAGTTTGGCCATCAAAAGGATAATAGGAAAACTTCTTGATTTCTCTGCTGGTGGTTAGGATTTGAGGGAGTGCTTGATCTTCATGGCCTTAACTGTCTTTATTTGCGGAAGCAGTTCTTTCCTGTCACCACAGATAAAAGTAGATTAAGGACTGAGTGTACAAGGAGCACCAGTACTCCACTGAGCTTGTTTCAAGTCTTTTGCAGCTGACTGTATGAAATAGCAGCAGTTGGGGATATCTCATGTAAAATTCAATAATGTCTGTAGTGATGGCACTTGAATGTCAAAAATCACCTTGATTAATGTTGCATGGCATCTTTTTATCTGTCTTTGGAGGCCAGAAACTGTTTCTGTTGGAAACAAATAAGTCAACTGAACGGCTTAAAAATAACTGTTTATGTAGCTGTGAGCAAGAAGTATATTATGAGCCAAGTAGTGTAATTGCCACTTGGTGTACTTCTTGCTTAATTATATGACCGACTGCTCAAATGTAATTAACTTTGAACCAACTGAATGATTAAAAATGTCCATAAGGTCTCCTTAGAAAAAGTCTCTATAGTCCCTATAAAACCTGTATAGTATATGTGCGTAGGAAGTTGTTTGGACAGCCACAAATCCTTTCACAGGTAGAAATGGGTTGTGCTGACTAGCAAGCTTCCTATGTGTGTACACAAGAAACTGGCTTGTCACTGCCATTAATGATGTCAGCAGTTCTTTTCTTTGTTTATCAATCCATTATTAATTTTAAAAGAATGAAATATTTTTCTTAATTTGAATTATAGTTAAATATGCAGTATCTTCAGCAAGGCGGTGTTATCTCAAGGATAAAGCTTTGACATGTGCTTTATTTACTGAAAATTGTTTTAGTTAGACTGCTAATTGCTGTCCTGGAATCTAAACTATTTTATCTTAAAGTAGAAACTTAGCCATAAGTTATGATTCATTTTATAAACCCTTCATTTAATCACTGAGTATTTATTGGCATCATCAGATCTGGCTTGCAGTATTTACTGAGCCCAGGAGTGTGAGAGATCTGATACTCAACCATCCCTGTTTATTATTGGATCTGTTAATGTATTTCAGCTTCCTAACCTTTAGCCCAGTTACTCATTCAACCCAGTAACTCAAATTATGTCATTATTACTTATTATTTAACCAAATATACAAAGATTGATAGAAATTGGTGGGGAAATAAATGAATGTTCGTTTGACATGTTGAGGTTTTGGAATACTAAATCTATGTCTGTAATTTAAATTAAATGGCCCACATTTCTGTAATTTCTAATAATAAACATCATTGGATTTCTTTTGGTTTCAGGATTCTCAGCATGTAGACACTGGCTACAATGATACAAGTAGGTATCTTATTCCAATATTAATCAATAAAAGACTTGTTTGAAGATTGTTGCAGAAAATAATCTATATATATGTTATAATCCAGAGACCAACTTTATCATCAGTATACTTTCACAAGTATACACCGCACAAAGTTTCCTGATATGAGCCTTTCTTGTGATGCCTTTTATTTACATTGATTCTATCAATGCTGCTGTGTCTTTAGGAAAAATGATACTGATAAAGTTCTGGTTAGATATAAATACATATATCATTGTTCGTAGAGAAATTGTTTTCAGTAAAGTTATCCTGTTTAAAACCGCATTATTTCTCCGAATATCATTCACATTAATTTTCAAATATATTTTCTCATCAGAGAAAGAAATTCAAGCAAAGAGCCCTTCGGATACCTCACTTCAGAAATTGTAAGTTTCTTTAAATTTCTACATTCATACGGTATTGAATCTTGGTCTGCATAGCCATGTGACCATTAAAATTTAAGCAGCAATGTAATTCAAAATTGACGGAAAATATATACAGTACAAAATTACATTTGTATAGCGCCTTTCACATCTGGAAGACGTCCAAAGGTGCTGGACAGTCAGGGATTTGGAGCTGAGCTGGGGACGGGGAGGGTGGATGGTAGGGGGTTGGCCAAAGGCTCGGTCGAAGATGAGGGTTTTGAGACCCGAGGCGAAGGGAATGTGCGATGGAGTTCCAAAGAGTGGGAGCAGAGAGGTTGAAGACCCGGCTGCCAATGGTGGAACGGGCCTGAAGGGGGAAGTGGAGCAGGCCAGATCCTGCTGAGGGGAGGGAGCGGACAGGTTGATATGGGGTCAGCAGGTCGCAGAGGTTTGGAGGGGCAAGGCTGTGGAGGGCATTGAAGGCGAGGACGAGGATTTTGAATTCAATCCTCTGGGGGATGGGGAGCCAGTAAAGCCGGGCTAGGGTGGGGGTGATGGGGTCACGGTACCTGATGCGGGAGAGGACACGAGCTGCAGAGTACTGGATGATCTGCAGCTTATGGAGGGAAGAGTTGGGAAGGCCGACAAGCAGGGAGTTGGCTAGTCGAGCCTAGATGTGATGAGTATACAACAACAACAATAACAACAAAATTACATTTATATAGCGCCTTTCACGTCGGGAGGACGTTCCGAGGCGCTGGACAGACAGATTTACGGACCAAAGCTGAGGGTCGGGGGGGGGGGGTGGTGGAGTGGGTAGGGGGGAAAGCAAGGAGATCGAAAGCATGGTCGAAGAGGAGGGTCTTGAGGTGGGTCTTGAAGGTGGTGAGGGAGGGGCGAAACGGAGGGATTGCGGGATGGAGTTCCAGAGGGTGGGTGCAGAGTGGCGGAAGGCCCGCCTGCCGATAGTGGGGCAAGCAAGGCGGGGGACATGAAGCAGGCCGGAGCCCGCTGAGCGGAGGGAGCGAACAGGGTGGTAGGGATTTAGGAGCTCAGATAGGTAGTGGGGAGAAAGACCGTGGAGACCACTGTTAATTAATTTATCCTTCAATGAATTAGCACTGGTATCTAACAAAGAAAATCAGACAGGCATAATTCATTTTGGCCTTTCAAACCTTCCAGTATTGCACTCATTGCATCCTCGTATTCCATCCTGTATTATTTAAGTGCAGGGTGGCACTCCTCCCAAAGAGGGTGGATTTATCCAAATTTCAAGGTGGCTCTGGTCATATCCAAATATTTGTTATAAACCTGAAATGGTCTTAATATAATAACAAGGTGAATTCCTATTGCATTATTTAGCCAAAGAGGATGATTTTCCACTTCTTGAGGAAAATTTACTGGCTTCAGTAGCATGTTCCTATAATGACATTTTTCCATTACAAAGTAAGTTTTCCATTACAAATTGCGTCAGTGCATCTCCCCTACTGATTAGTCCCACTGGATGTCAGGAAGCTGGGAATTTTTAAATAGCCCCAAAGGATCTGAGAAGCTTTTGGGATTGTGGAAACGCTTCTCATTTACATAAACAGGAAGCTTGTAAAACAAGTGGAACTAATTAATGAACTTTCTGAATAATGAATGCCTTTTGTATTTTACAAATACACTTTTATTCTCCAACATCTATAATTTATTCTATGTTTCCATAGATTACAGTAACATTAAATAAATGTACTGAACGATACAATATTTTGATCCACATCATAATGCTTTTACTGTCCCAGAGCTATGCAAATAAAAAAATGGATTTCTGCACTAGTTGCCTCACAATGAGACAGTCTTTTAAAAAAAACTTCAAAAATCTTCCAGATTATTTTTGTTGGAAAAACAAACATAGACCAGTGTAATATGAGCAGATGATTGAATGATTGGCAAGGTTGACTGACAACAACTTGAGCTCACAGTCTAAGGTGATGCGCCAGTGTATTTCTGTTGGAGTGCTGCATTGTTGGAGTTGATGTCCTTCAGATGAGATGAGGCTCTGTGTGCTTCTTCAAATAGATTTCATGATTTTGTTCAGAAAGAAAGGGGAATTTTTCCCCAGTGCCCTGGCCAACAATTCCACAGGTTATTTGGTGATTTGCTTCATGGCTGTTTACAGGACTTTGTGAGTCAAGCGCTCCGGGACACCACCTTGCATGAAAGGCAATGTATAAATGCAAGTTGTTGTTGGTGTGAGCAGTCTGCATTTGGGGGATCTCCTAGAGCAGAATATTCCATATTGAGGTTCAAATCCCATAACTGTGTTTTCCTACACCTAAAATCCACCAGAATTTGACCTTGTAACAATCACAATCAAATACCATCTATATCACACATCACAATTTCCAACTCAGAGCATTTAAATACACCAACATACATTTTATACAGTGGCATGCAATAATCTGCACCAGCGAATAGAGCTGCCATTTTATAAAAAAACTATGATCCAGATTTATTTCCCAGTGAAGTAAATGATTAAATGACCTTAAAAGAAAAAGTAATCAGTGATAAAACAGCTGATGAGCTGTTTAACAGGTATAGTTTTACTGACTGAATGTTGAGAAGATTTTTATATTCCGGAACCATTAAGTAATGCAAGAGTTCAACTTTTAGTTTCAAAGTTGATAATAAAAGTAATACAGAAGAATATGTTACTTCCAAGATTTTACTGTGCAGTTTTCAGTGAGAGCATTGCTTATCATATATCAAAAGAAAATGCATCTGGTTTCTTCATATTTATAAGTAGTGAACAAAACAATTTACCACTAGTTTGTTCTCAGATATATATGAAGGAAGCTGCCACATATTTTTAATTCTGTCTGTCATATCTCTATCAAATGATCTCAATTCTTGGTCACTGCCAATGTCTCTTTCTTGGTCACTGGGAAAATTAACGCTACACTCTGCTTCATTCCTTCTGAGCCTATTCTCTTGCATACGTTGTTTACATAGGTGCAAATGATCAAGTTCAGACTAGCCCAGGCCAACAATAAAACACTGGGATTCACTCTTTGGTCTGCATAAAATAAAGACAGAAATATATCAATAATCTCACCAGTTCCTTTTCCAATTTAAAAAAAAACTTAATTTTAAATGCTAAAAAAACTCTAAATGTGTATGTATATACTTCAAAAGAGTTAAGTAAAGGAATCAACACAATAAAAAAAGGTTTTACTGACAAACATTTTGCTTGTGCTTTGCAAAACCATACTTTTCTTTGAGGTACAGGACAATGTCCTGGGACAATAACCTTGGTCATCTTAACTCTAAACTTGTTTCCATCTGAGCGTGAACAGTCTAAGAGACAATGTTCTTTGTAAAATTTCTGCCAGATTTCACAGAGTCACTGTGAATTTTCAAAGAATTGTCATTCAGCCTATCAGGTCTGAGCTGGTGCTAGCTCCTCCCCGGAACTGTTGTATTGAGCGCTATTATATTATATTTATATTTAATTTTCTGTTGTATCCCAGCAGCAGTGGAAGCTGTAGCAGAAGAGGATTGCAGATGAGTTGAATTATCTCATGTCAACTTCGTGAAATAAAACATGTCTGTCACTTTGGCTGATGGTTCTCTAGGTTGTGGTTGATCCTCTAGTTTAAAAGGTTGAGGGGTGATCTGATTGAGATATTTAAAATGATAAAGGGATTCGATAGGGTAGCTACAGTGAAACTATTTCCTCTGGTGGGGGAATCCAGAACAAGGAGGGATAATCGTAAAATTAGAGCTAGGCCATTTAGGAGTTGAATCAGGAAGCATTTTTTCATGCAAAGGGTATTGGATATTTAGAACTCTCTCTCCCCAAAGTCTGTGAATGCTGGATTTCAAATTCAAATTTCAAGACTAAGGTGGATAGCTTTTTATTAGTCAGAGTATCAAGGGAGATAATAATAATAATAATCCTTGCATTTGATATAGCGCTTTTCATGTCGGGAGGACGTCCCAAAGCGCTTCACAGAACACACTGTAAAGTGAATTGACTGTATATTGTGGGCGAACGCGGCAGCCAATTGCGCACAGCAATGTCCCACAAACAGTCGCAGATTGAAAATGACCAGTTTTATTATTGTTTTTGGTTTTGGAGGAATTATTATTAATGGGGCAAAGGAGTTGAGGTACAGATCAGCCATGATCTAATATAATACCAGAACGGGCTTGAGGGGCTGAATGGCCTACTCCTGTTCTTATGTTCCTTTATTGAGCCCTGAACCACAAGCTACCTGCTCCAATCCGATTTCCCTCCTCTTTCTCCATAACCTTGAATGTCATTTCCTCAAATATTTATTCATACTGCCTTAATATGTGTTTTTGGCCAAAGATAATCTGGGCTTTTCATCAAAATACATTCTGCCATCCAATGCACAATACTAATTCTCTTATATCTAGAAATTACAGCTAAAACATTTTATGTCTTTCCTATTTTTAGCTTTGTTATTCTTTTACATTTGGAAATGGTAATGCCAATATATGCTTTGTCTACTGCACATATGTAATTTACTATGTAAGCATATCACTCTTTTCATTTGGGCTTTTCCTAGGGAAAATAAACTGATTTTAAAAAAATGTTAGTGCTAAAATAACATGACATTTTTAGTTTGGGGGATATGTTTGCAGTCTGTACTTGAGAATTTACTCTGCTCATTGTACAAAAGTTAATAATTCAGTGCAATTATTTTTTTTTAAAAATGTGTTAACAGAGAACAGTATGTGGAGTTATTTATATATAATGGTAAGGTCTTAGTAATCACACTGTCTACTGTGATATGATTCCTAACCCATACAGTGTCATTTTGACAGCAATTTCACTTATTATAAAAACGAGGGTGTCCCCTCTATTAAGATGGGTAATAAAGGTAACAATAAACTGAAACAATAAACTGCTTTCATTTAGTACAAAAGGCTGTACTGGCTTTAATAGCAAGCGTGTGGCAATAAGGAAGTTAATATTAAATTATTCGTTATTTTAACTTGATAGTCTTTGA